AAGATGGGGTATTTGGATTTTACTGTCTGTCTATTCAATGCGCGGTAGTCGATGCACATCCGTAAACTACCGTCTGGCTTTGGAGTGAAGAGAACTGGTGCACCGTAGGGAGAGGTGGATGGGCGGATCAGTTGTTTGTCCAATAGATATTCGATATGTTTTTTTAATGTCTGTCAGTTCGGTCGGACTAAGGCGGTATGGTGAACGTGAGACGGGTTTAGCATCTGGTTTCTCCACGGTCTCGTGCTCGTGGTTTTGCACTGGAGGTACTCGTGCAGGCAAGTCATCTGGCATGATGTCCTTGTACTCGGCTAACACCTCCTGTACTACTGCACGTAGCTCCGAGTTCGGCTTCTCCTCCTCTACTTCTATTGTAACAAGTGTTAGGTAGCATGTGTTGCTCTCGTTCACCGTCCGTTCGAACCGTGCCAGTGTCATTTCAAGAACATCCCCTGTATCGATCCAGCTTCTCAGCTCCACACGTTTCCCGTTGTTGTAGGTACACACCTTCTGGTTGACCCGTCGATCTCCGCGTTGAATCACTTCAAGAAATCTCGCCCCAAGATGAAATCTAATCCCTTGATGTTCGTGATCGGCAATGTGGACTTCCATCTCAACACACCTATGTGTAGCTGCAGTGATGTTTGCCGTGGATGGGAAGCTTCATTTCGTCCACCATTGTTGCTGAAAACTGGGTCTCATCTGCTTTCTCCCCAATTTTCTCCAACGTCCCGCGGTCACACACCGAGTGAGATGCACCACTGTCCACCAGTGCCTTGAGGCGTCGCCCTTTGTATAGCACCTCGAGGATTAGTGGTTTTTACTGCACAGAGTAGCCAAAGAGGGTCTCATTAATAGGATCATAGCGTACATCAAAATAGTCATTATCCCTATTTCCTATACCTGACTTGGCACTCTTAACTTCCAACTTCACTTGGGGGGCAGGAGGATTTTTTCGAGGCTTGAATAACTTCTCATGAGCCTGGATTTTTCCCTCTAAGCTTTTGCAACTGTGTAGGCTTCACTTGTGGGCAATGGGGAGCCTTAACACGGTGCTGCGGGGAGAGGATATTAACTCCACAAAACGTACGAACCTTTTCAACGCTCTGGAGTACTTTGCCCAACTTCTCAGGTACCTGAATAATTTCTCGAGGCTTTTTCTTGGCCTCTAATTCTCCCCTGAATTTTTCAAAGGCTTGAAAACCACGAGAAGTATTATTCATTGTTAAAGTATCTTTATATGATAACTTTAACGAATTTTTACTTTCGTGGGTGTTCGGTTGGAGTTTCCCGATCGGTGCAGAGTCTTCTTTCGCGGAGTCTCCCTTTTTTTCAGTAAATTCCCCTGGTGCTGGCCAGTCGTGACGTTTTAAATTTGCGCCATCATTTTCTCCTTTTCCGCCCGCTCCGAAGTCGCCACACCGTCACCCTTTTTTTTTTCCGAATCTTTTCGCAATCGCGAGTCGATCCGCGGCTACTGGCGATTCCCGTTTTTTTTTTTTTTCTTTGGGGGTGGTGCTGCACTGTTGCCGCCGAGCATTTCCGCACGTGCTTTTTTCATCTTGTAACACGACATAATCTGATGTCCGGCTGCGCCGCAAAATTTGCATTTTGTTGTCCGCGGCTTTGTGTGAATTCGGTCGATGTCCATCGGTTCGGCGAACGTGGGGGGTGCCGATCGCTCCATGCCAAAATATCTGTTCGGCATTTGGTGTCGTGTTTCGAATTCACCACGCGACAACGCGTTATGTCGTTCTGCTGCACGTACCATGTCACGATAGCTACTGTAGTTCGCGGTGATTACTTGTCGGCGTATCTCCATTTTCAGCCACTCAGTGTACGCTTGGATCTTTTTTCCATCGGTCAGGTCACTGATGCGGTTGAAAAAACTTTCCATCTGCTGCGTATACTATGCTACACTCCCGCATTGCTTATGCCGATGAATTTGCTGCCGCGCCATGCAGCTTGAATTAATGAGTTCGAATCGTTCAATCAAATCTGCCCGAAACTGCGCCCACATTCTCTCTCCGTGGACCACGTCGCTGTAATAAATCCATTCGAGTTCCAAGCCTCGCAACAGTGTCACTGCGAGCCGAATCCTTGCTGTGTCATGTGTCGGGGTCGTAGAGCCAATGGCCTCGAAATAAATTTCGAGGGTCGCCACGAATCGTCGAACGTTCGATCCCTTCATGCTTGGATTGAATGCTTCGGGGAGCCTCGGGCGAGCTGCTTTGAGGCTCTGCAAAGGTGGTGCCACTGGTCCGTGGAATGCCTGTGTCGCTGCTGTTGCTGCTGCTGGCACCGCTGCATTCGCTGATGCGTTCGCTGCTGCTGTGGCGGCTACCGACTGGTTCGCGAGGAGCGCCTATATTGGCTGGAGTGCCGCTCGCGTCTGGTCCATCTCCGTGGAAAGGGTTGTGACTTCGGTGATGATGTTGTCTCCAGCACCCTCCATTCCTGCCGACATCGCGTCCGAAACAGAATCGGGGGGGGAGACTTAAAACACGGAACCGATTTTATGTACCCGAAATCGGTGTTTAGTGCTCGTCGCCCCCGCGATTTTTTAAGACTGTCTTTTAGCGGTCGAAAGAACTTCGCGTGTAAACGAGCTCTGATTACCAAGTGGAGAATCGAAAGGATCGATTTCAGAAAAAATAATGAAATTTATTGATCACCTGGGTACAACGCGAGGCTATATATAGGCTCGAAACAAAGCCTAGAATTCAGAACACGCAACCTGAGTACAACGCGATTCTTCTCGAATTCGGTAGAAGGCAATTCGGTGGCAACCGAAAAGCCTAGAATTCAGAACACGAGTTTAGTGCTATAACTATAATGAAATATAGGAAAGCACCTTACCTAGGAAATCAAGCGTAAGCATGCATGATAAAAAATTCCTAAGCTAGAAAGAGCATAATAAAGTCCAAGCAAGCTAGCAAAGCCAGCATAAGCCATCGTACTCTCACAGAATGTGATGTAGAGAGTCCAACAAGAACGGGCCGTGAATTTTCAAGGTCCCCGCCAACAGGACCCAGAGGCAAAATTAGCCTGGTTTGACCACTAGGCTGCGAATTCGCACCTAGTACGCAAGCTACAATGGGACAACATATCACTTCAATGAAGAACGAGAAAGTTTTTGAACGACAGACTTTATGCGTTGGATATTTCGTTGCGACGACTTCGACAAATTTGTGGGTATAGAGCATTGGGGGTTGGGAGATCTTGTCAATCTAATGTGTTTTGCTGCCAAATGGTTAGGAGAAACCGAACTATATTGGCAAGTGTTGTTAAAACATATTTGGTGATATTTGTTTAGGCTGTAGTGGGGTTAGCCTTTAAGGGGTACTAACACTTTCTCTACACTTTGCTTGTACCCACCATCCCTTGACCTAATCACCATTCAAGTCGATTATGTTAACATGGTTTTAGAGCTTAGGACTCTTCCTAAGTTGTACGATGTTTTTTTTTAGGGCTTGCCCGTCGCGCGTCATTCCCACTGCCCTACTATTACGCTGCCCTGCATGTGCCTTTCGTATTTTCCCTTAGCGTGATCTGCCCTTAGCGCGATCCGACCCGCTCGCACTGCCCTGCTCGTTCGCGCAGCCCGTCCCCGTGCCTTCACGCCACCCTGCCCCTGCCCGTTTGCTCAGCCCGGCCCCGCGCCTTAGCGCCGCCCTGGCCCGCGCCCTTGCACCACCCTGCCCTGCCCACACGCAGCCCAGCCCCGCGCCTTAGCGCCGCGCTGCCCTGCCCATTCGCGCAGCCCTGCTCAACCCTGCACTTTCGCCCTGCTCTGTCCGGCGCGCCATCGCTCCCTCTTACTGCAGCAGCCATTACAGCAGTTGCTGCCACTACTACAACTACTGCAGCCACCGCTACAGCCACTGCAGCTGCCGCTACAACCATTGCAGTCGCCGCTACAGCAGTTGCTGCCGCTGCTACAACTGCGAAAGCCGCCGCTCCAGCCATTGCAGCCGTCATTACAGCCACTGCAGCCGCCGCTACAGCCGCTGCAGCCGTCGCTACAGTAGCTGCTACCACTGCTACTGTAGCTGCCGCTGCTATAGCTGCTACAGCCGCCGCTCCAGCCACTGCAGTCGCCGCTATAGCCACTGCAGCTGCCGCTAGAGCCACTGCAGCCGCCGCTATAGCCATTGAAGCCGCCACTAGAGCCACTATAGCCCACTACAACAGCTGCTGCCTCTGCTGCAGCTGCCGTTGCCGCTAAAGCAGCTTCTACCACTGCTGTAGCCGTAATTGCTGCTACAGCCGCTACTTTCACTGTTGCAACCGCCGTTCCTACTACAGCAGCTTCTACCAGTGCTGCAGCCGCCATTGCTACTGCAGCAGCTTCTGCCACTACTGCAGCCGCCCTTGCCGTTACAGCCGCTACTGCTCTACCTGTTACTGCCGCACAACTAGTGCCGTCGCCCTTCTGCTACTGTTGCATGAGCGTCGCTCCTACTCGTGCTGCTTACTATGGCAACTCCCATTGTACAGGAGTTTGACACCGAGGGTAGCCCAGTCGATTACGAGTCCTGGCTCGAGGGGCTTCACTTGTACTTGCTGAGCATTACCAAGGATGACGTATCTCTCTTTGAGCATACTTTAGGCTCCCTTCTTGCCCCGCCCACTTCGAGAGTGTCAGACCCCTCCGCGCTAGCAGACGTGCATCAGCGGTTTAAGACCGATGGCATAGCTAGTACTCAGTGGTTAGCACGCGACGCCACTGCCGAACTTGCAGTCCGCAACCACCTCCCACCCGACCAGCAAACCCACTTTCGCCAGCTGAAAACTGCCAAAGCGTTCTATGATGATGTAATGAAGCGCTATTCCCCCCCCTCCACAGCCGCCCTAGGCTGCCTGCTGCTGCCATACCTATTTCCTGAGCTGTCCGACTTCCCCACTGTCACTGACCTAATGTCTCACCTGCGCTCCAGTGACCTTCGCTATCGTGCTGCTCTCAAGCCAGAGTTCCTGGATATGACTCCCCCCCGCCGATGTACATCACTCTCTACTTCCTAGAGACCCGTCTCCCTGACTCCGTTCGCCCCATCCGAGACCACTTCCTCTCTCTCGACCCCACCGAGCTATCACCCTAGCCTCGTTTGAGTTACGACTCTTGGCGGCCAAGACCAGTGCCCATGCTGTAGGTGCCTCCCGTGGTACTCCTCGCACCTCTTTCTTTGAGGGGTGTGCTCCTTCCCTCCTCGCGCCCTCTGTTATCTCTGCTGCTGCTGTTGAATTCATCGGTGCTGAGGAAGCCGGTGCAGCGTCTGTTCAAAGCAGGAGGCGTCAGAAGGGCAAGGGTGGTGGGGGTGGCAGCAGGGGTGGCGGTGGCAGGGGCGGTGGAGTTGGCGGTAGTGGGGGCGGTGGAGGTGGTGGTGGAGGGGGTGGTGGGGGTGGTGGGGGTGGCGGGGGTGGTGGCGACGGAGGCGGCTCGGGTGGCGGTCGTGGTGGAGCTAGCGGGGGTAGAGGTCAGGGAGCTGCGTCTGGGCATACAACTAGTGGAGGCGGAGGTTCTGGGGGTGGACAGCAGCAGCATTCGCGTCGGCAAGAAACCCTCTCGCCGCAGCAGCTGCGTGAGTGGGTGGTCCAGCAAGGTGGACCCTGAGGAGGAGATCGCTGCACCTATGTCAGGCGCACGGGTCCCCGCGCAGGAGATGTCTGTGGCAGGCAGGGGCACGGTGAGGCTCGCTACTTCTGCCGCCTCGAGGATGCTTTCTATGAGGAATTTGGTGAGAAGACGGACGTGCCTAATTGGTTAGGATTGCTCAAGAAGAACATTGATGAATTTGATTTGGATTGGAACTAGATCCTTGCTGGTATGCATGCTATATATGTTGCTTCTGCTACTGTTGAGGGTGACTGTTACTTGGGTGTGCCTAGCTCTGGTGGTGTAGTGGCTGCTAGTGTAGGTGCCTACGAGTCCGCTAGCACATGTGCAGTTTCATTGGAGGCTCTGCACATATTCACGCTGGACTCCGGCGTGTCTCGCTGCTTCTTTTGAGACTGCACCACAGTCACGCCGCTCACAGCACCTGTCCCAATCACTATGGCCGACCCCTCGTCGGGTCCGGTAGTCGCTCATGACACCACTGTTCTGCCGAGTCTGGCGGTCCCCTCCGTCCCCCTCGCAGGTTTCCACCTCCTCTCGTTCGCTATGAACTTGGTGAGTCAGGCTGTCCTCCAGGATCAATTGGTCACCACCACTACTCCTGGGGGCGAGCTCGTGGCGATCTGTACGGACTCGGCTTAGGTCTGGTTTTAACAAACTGCGCACCGATACTGCACACGTAGCTGTGACAGGTCAGGTAGGTGCGTCGTGCTCGTGTCGGTTACTCACGCACCCGCCTTTCCTCTGGCACCACCATCTTGATCTCCCCTCCCTGCAGCGTCTGCGTTGCATGCACTCGCGTCTTCTTGTCTCTGGCCTTAGGAGGTCCCTGCCCCCTTTGTCGCTGTCGCTTGCGCCGCCGTGCACTCCCTGCGTTGAGGGGCAGCAGCGCGCCGCTCCTCACTCCTCCGCATTCCCTCCGAGCACTGCTCCTCTGTAGACCGTGCACATGGACGTCTGGGGCTCCGCCACCATCCCTGGGCTACACTGGGAGAGCTACTTCCGGCTGGTCATCGACGACAACACGCGCTACACCATGGTGTCTCCCTTGCAGCGCAAGGGCGACGTCTGTCCCTGCTGTTTTGATCCCTTGGATCCGCGCTGTTCGTCGCCAGCTGAGCGCACGGTTCCGTCAGGACCTCCCGGTGCTCCGTCTGCACTCTGATCATGGCGGTAAGTTTTCCTCCGGTCTCCTTCAGGACTTTTGTTGTGAGGAGGGCATCATCCAGTCGTTCATGCTTCCGGCTTTTCCATAGCAAAATGGGATTGCCGAGCACCACATTGGCTTGATCATGGAGGTTGCTCGCACCTCCATGATCCATGCGGCCTTTCCCCATTTTCTGTGGCCATTTGTGGTCCGAAACGCCGTGCATCATCTCAACCTCTAGCCCCGTGTCTTCGAGCCAGAGACCTCACCTAAACTGTGTTGGACGAGGGAGGTTGGCGATGCATCTGCGTTTTGGGTCTGGGGTTCGATGGCCCTTGTCCGTAATACTACCGCGGACAAGCTCTCTTGATGCACCGTTCGCTGTGTCTTCCTTGGCTTTCCCACCGAAATGCCTGGCTGGCAGTTTTACCATCCAGCCACGCGTCGTGTCCTGTCCTCCCAGAACGTCACATTTGACGAGTCAGATTGCTACTACCGTCTCCTCCCCCACCTATCTTTTCCTGTCCCCCCGCTGCCCCTCTTCGTGGTTCCAAGTTACCCCCAGTAGACCCCCACCGCCCCTCGCGTCCTGCTCCCTCAGGTGTGTCTCAGGTCACACCATCCCCCTTGGTTGAGCCTTTGGAGGTCTCCTCTGGCCCGGCTGAGGGGGGTAACCCTGATGCTGACGACACTACGGCCTCTCGCCGCTCCCCGCACTTGGAGACCCCTCCTGGCTTTCCGCCTTGGCCGTCTTCGCAGCCTCTGTAGCCTGTCGCTATAAACTCCAGTGCTGTTGGAGGTGGTGGCGCAGGAGGTGTGGGCTTTGAGGGTGCTCACGCTGGAGGTGCTGGTTCTCAGGGTGCTGGGCCTGTGGGTGCTGGGCCTGGAGGTGCTGCGCCTAGGGGTGGGCAGCAGCTGCCGTCGCGTTCGCAGGAGACTATCTCGCCGCAGCAGTTGCGTGAGTGGGTAGTCAAACGCCGTGCTGACTCTGGAGGTGCTGGTTCTAGGGGTGCTAAGCCTGGGAGTGCTAGCTTGGGGGGTGCTGGTTCTGGGGGTGCTGGGCCTGGGAGTGCTGATTCTGGGGGTGCTGAGCATGAGGGTGGACAGCCGCTGCCGTCGCGTCCGAAGGAGACTCTCTCATCACAGCAGCTGCGTGAGTGGGTAGTCGGACGCCGCGCTGACTCTGGAGGTGCTGGTGCTAGGGGTGCTGAGTCTGGGGTTGCTGACTCTAGAGCAAGAGGTGCTAGGTCTGCTGGTGCTAGAGGTACTGGTGCTGGAGGTACTGGAGCTGGAGGTACTAAAGCTGGAGGTACTGGTGCTGCAGGTACTAGTGCTAGAAGTACAGGTGGTGGAGGTACTGGAGCTGGAGGTACTGGAGCTGGAGGTACTGGTGCTCGAGGTACTGGTGCTGGAGTTACTAGAGCTAGAGGTACAGGAGCTGGAGGTACTAGAGGTTCTAGTGCTGGGGGTGCTGTGCAATCTGTGCAGCGATGGCCGTTTTTCTGGACTCAGCCGGAGTCGTCGCTGCCACCACCTGGCTCGGCGCTTCACCAGGTTCTCAGTCTTCTATCTTCCACTGGCCTTACTCCTCCCCTACTCTGTCCTCTGCCTGACCAGTCACAGCCGCAGTTATAGCCTGACTACTTACTGCTTGCTCCATCTCCTTTCACTGAGCAGACTGACTTTCAGACAGAGCGTTGTGAGCCTGCGTCTCGTCCTGCCTTGCCTGTTCGCACTGTTCGTCGAGCTCGTTGTGTTCGATCGTCCTCCACCTGTCCCCGGCACGCACACTATGGCACTTCGTCCTTTCTCTGCTCCACAGGATGTTGCCCTACTGTCTCCTCCGGCGTCCTCTCTTCCTGACGTTCCTGACTTGAGTCTGACCTGAGTCTGACCTTGCTTGTGCTGCTAGTCTCACTATCACTCGTTGTCTAGCCACACTTGTCACTTACCCTACTTTTGTGTATGGTGCTGTGTCTGCCTTAGTCACTCAGCTCGTTAACTTTGCTGCTCCCTCTCGTCTCGACTACGTCGCGAGTCTTGTTACTGAGTCTGAGTGTAACTGTCCTTCGTCCGTTAGGGGTGAGCTTGCCCTTAGCAGTGACGTCCTTGAGGACAGGTAGATTGAGCTCGAGTGCCTTGCGGCTGCTGTACCTCATCTCGCTGCCATGCTGCTTGCCCCTAAGGGAGACCCGGATGCACTGGACATCCCGAATTTTTGCTCTTACGCAGAGGCGATCACGGGTCAGTACTCCTCTCAGTGGCAGACAGCCATGGACGCAGAGATGGCATCCTGGAAGTCCACAGGCACCTACGTCGATGCAGTTCCCCCTCTGGAGGCGAACGTAGTCGATGGCATGTGGATTTTCAGGGTGAAGTGGACGTCGAGTTCTCCGCCTGTCTTCAAGGCGCATTACGTTGTACGAGGATTCAGTCAGCGACAGGGGGTCGTCTTCTTCCAGACCTTCGTGCCCACCCCGAAGATGACCACTCTTTGGGTGTTACTGCACGTTGCAGCATATCGTGACTACGAGCTTCACTCGCTTGACTCCAGCACAAATTTCTTGCAAGGCAGCCTTCAGGAGGAGATCTGGCTGTGTAGCCTATCTGGCTTCACCAGGTCGTTTTCTTAGGGTACCCAGTGGAGCCTCCAGCGGCCAGTCTACGATCTCCGCTAGGCACCTCGCAAGTGGCACGACACACTGAGGATGACACTTGCAACTCTGGGGTTTACTCCTTCGACTGCTGACCCGTCGCTGTTTGTGCGCACCGATCCTTCTCTGCCGCCATTCTACATCCCTATGTACATCGACGACTTGGTCTTTGCTATTGCTGACACTAAACCGCAAGCCCTTGTGAAGGCGGAGGTGCAAAAGAGACACACGTGCACTGATCTGGGTGAGCTGCGCAGCTACCTTGGTTTGCAGATCACCCGGGACAGAGCACGGTGCACCATCACTCTGACTCAGTCACACATGGTACAGCAGGTCCTGACGCGCTTCCGCTTTCGGTTCTCCTCACCACAGGCCACTCCTTCCCCTATAGGCCACTCACTCTCAGCTCCACCTTCGGACGAGTCCGTAGAGCAGTGATCAGTATCTAGAGCTTGAGCGCTGCCTCATGTACATGATGACCTACACTTGACCTGAACTCGCGTACCCTTTAAGCATCCTGGGGCACTTTGTTGCGCCCGGAAAGCACCGCCATGAGCACTGGCGGGCTGCATAGAGGGTACTGCGGTACTTGTGCAGTACAGCAGGCATGGGGCTTGTGCTTGGAAGATGGGGTCCATTTGTGCTCACTTGGCACTCAGGCGCTTCTTGGAAGACGACGAGGAGAATCAGCGCTCGTCACAGGGTTACACTTTAAGTCTCGGTTCTGGTTCTGTCTCCTGGAGGTCCACCCGCTCGTCTTCTGTTCTCAGCTCCTGTTGTGAGGCTGAGATCTACGTGGGGGTCATGGCTGCACAGGAGTTGCGCTGGCTGACCTACTTGCTGACGGCTTGGGTGAGCGGCCTTGTTCTCCTCCTGTTCTATACGTCGACAACAAGGCTATGATTGCCTTGTGACGAGAGCAGAGACTGGAGCACAGAACGAAGCATATTGCACTTCGTTACGTCCTCACACGAGAGCTACAGCAGCGTGGTCAGCTTCGTCTTGTTTACGTAGCCTCACAGGCCAACACTGCTGATTCTTCACCAAGGCCCTCGGGTCTGGTGATTATCATGTACATTTCTCTTGGGCTTGTGCCCACTCTTCTTCATATACTTGTCCCTTGATCTTGCCTTGCTATACACAACTATATATATCTTTATACATGCATCTTTACACCTGCTAGGTTGGGATCGGTG